CCAGGTATCTCTGTTTTTGTTTTTTTAAACTTATTTTAAGTCACACACGCCTTGATTTACACGCCATTGAACGAGAAACAGTATAACACTGGGAAAGAAAAACATTAGCCACCAACCGACTGAAATCAGTTTTGGCAAAGAGAGTGATTTTGCACTTTTGAAAAAAAATGCAGAAAACATTTTTTCACCTCTTGTCAAATGACAAAAATTTCAGTTATTTTGGAAATTCCACAATCAACAATAATATTTTAAAACAATGGTCATAATTTATCGTTCATGGAAATCAAAACTTCTTCCATAGATTTTGCGGGGTTAATAGGAATAAAATTGAACTGCATCTCAGTTGTTATGTAGATACAATTTGAAAAAAAATAACAGGGCAATAAAATGCAGAGAACAAGATTCAATGACTTACTATGTATTGTATTGTGACAAAGTAAATATGCTAAATATGATTGTTCCCCAAGACTGTCTGTTGGTCCTGCAGAGAAAAAAAAAAAGAAGCAGCAGCACCAGCATTATCATTTCACTGTCTTTGCTTGTAAACAAGGAGCCTCAGTGCCCAGAACACTGTCTCCAGCTCTGTTCAGCACTGCTCTAAAATAAAACTAACAGAACAGGATAATTACCAAAAAAGGGCATAGGCTAGATTTGTTGGCAAAGGGCTTCCTGAGTAGATTGAATGTAAGCTTGAGGTATGTCATTTTTTTTAGTGCTTCAGATGCATTCTAGAATTAAATGACTTTCCTAATATTTTTCTCATTTGAATTAACCCTGAATTGTGATGGAAGTGTGCTTACTCCCATTTTAAAAGCTGTGAACAGGAAAGAAAGGAATTTCATGGATTGTAGAAAATCTAGAACTACTCTTCAGAGATATATTTTCCACTATGATATTTTTATTTTATTTACTTATTTTTTTAAAAGATTTATTTATTTTTATGTAAGAAGTGGGGTACAAGTCAGAGGCGGGGAGGGTGAGCGGATTCATCAGAGACAGAGCAGGGAGCAGAACAGGCAGACTGATGAAACACACTGCTGAGGGGAGCAACAGGTGAGACAGGAGAGGTCTGCGTGCCACGTGGGTATCTCCCTGGCCAGCCGGGAATTGAACCCGCGCTGTAGAGGCTGCGGGCAGCTTCACAGCACTGCACCCAAGCCGCTGCACCAACGGGGAGGCCCTATGATTTTTTCAATTAAAATATCCTGATCTACATTGCCTTTGTGAATTTTAAGATGGTGCAATGTGAAGACAGGTAATAAAAAAATGACAAAATAAATTGGAAATAAAATAATTAAATTTTAACATAACATGAGCCACCAACTGAATGAAATCATTTCTTCCTCTTAATTAGGCAGAAAAATGCATCCACTTCTACCCAATACCTTAGTCACTGCGGAGATCATCATGATGGAGGAAATCTTGATTTCCTGGCAAGAAACTGCCACAAACATGTAACTGCATGAGCTATTTGACTTAGAACCTAGGAATAAAACCTGAATGTAGGCATGCCCTCACATTCAGATTCACACAGGATTCAGTGGGAAAACATGACTGAGGTCACCATGTTTATATTAACGGGCTTCCGGGGTGATTTTGAGATGCAAGTCTTCCTGTTTTTACTGTTTCTGGCAATTTATCTGTTCACCCTGATAGGAAATTTGGGGCTGGTAATATTGGTCATTGGGGATTCCCGGCTCCACACCCCGATGTACTACTTTCTGAGTGTGTTATCCTTCTTGGATGCCTGCTATTCCTCCGTTGTCACCCCCCAAATGTTGGTCAATTTCTTGTCAGAGAACAAGGCCATCTCGTTCGTTGGCTGTGCCACCCAGATGCTTCTCTTTGTGACTTTTGGGACCACGGAATGCTTCCTCCTGGCCGCGATGGCGTATGACCGCTACATGGCCATCTACAACCCGCTCCTGTACTCGGTCAGCATGTCCGCCAGGGTCTACGTGCCGCTCATAGTGGCATCCTACGTGGGCGGCATCTTGCATGCTTCCATACACACGGGGGCCACATTCAGCCTGTCCTTCTGCGCATCCAACGAGGTCAGGCACGTCTTCTGTGACATTCCCCCTCTCCTTGCGATTTCTTGTTCCGACACGCACATAAACCAGCTCCTGCTCTTCTACTTTGTGGGCGCTATTGAGATAGTCACTATCTTGATTGTCCTGATCTCCTATGGTTTCATCCTGTTGGCAATCCTGAGGATGAAGTCTGCGGAAGGAAGGAGGAAAGTCTTCTCTACGTGTGGCTCTCACCTGACAGGGGTGACAATTTATCATGGAACAATCCTCTTCATATACATGAGACCGAGTTCCAGCTATGCTTTGGACCATGACATGATAGTGTCGATATTTTACACCATTGTGATCCCCATGCTGAATCCCATCATCTACAGTTTAAGGAACAAAGATGTGAAGGAAGCAATGAAAAAAATGTGGAGAGAAATCAGTTCCTAAGTAAATTGCATTTTCAGCATTTGATAAAACCGCAAGGAATGTTGATGTGAGTCTGCTTCTCTAAGTTCAAGAACTAGAGAAGAAAATGTTTTGCTTTCAGTTAATAGCTCCTGTATATTCTAGAATTTGCCCAAATAGAGCATTAATCAGCTTTTCTCTGCAGCATTTCATGAATACATAGAATTTGTATCATTTGTAGGCTGTTGACTATGTTCAAACTGACCCATACTAAATATTCATGGGGATAAGTTTATTGCTGTTGTTAAGGATACATAATTTGATTTTCACTCATGTGACAATAAATTATATCCTCAGGATTCTTAGACTGCTCTATCTCCACATTGCTTATAGGAACTTTCAGTGCTCATTGTGAAATCACTCTCCATGTGGAGTCCTTGTGAATGACCTTTCAAATGTGACTTCTTTCACCCTCCACATGCTGTCAAACAGTAAGATACTCCCAGATGATAGGAATGCCTTTTGCACCAGTTTAACACCATGTATTTCTAGTCCATCCCAGTCTTTCCTTCTATTGTCCAATCAGCAATTGATCAGGTTCATTCTGAAACTCCAAAAGTTTCAGAAATTAGATGATCACATTTATTGAGCGTATACTCAAATCTTAGGAAATGCAAATAAAACACATTTAGAGAAAAGTTACAATAGCCACCCTAGAAAACTGAACTTTCAGACATCGTATACTGCACATGTGTTCGTGTGTGTGTGTGTGTGTGTGTGTGTGTGCAGGTGTATATATCAGAGTGTGTGAAGAAAGAGCAGAGGATGATCGAGTTTTCCTGAATGTGTGAAAACTGCATAGGTGGAGGTGTGTTTATGATCTTTATATGAAAGTATGTACCACAAATATAAAGGTACTGCAAAATAGTTTTCTAAATCATTTCAATTGTGAGTCAAAGAGCTGAATTCTTTATTTGTTTCAGTTAATGGTCACTTGAAAATTACATTTTGTTGATACAACCCATGTCCATAATCTAAATGAGATCATAATAAGAAATCATTACAAAATATAAAAATATTTCACTTGGAAAACAAATCACTTTATCCCTGATGGTTTCAAAATACATTAGTTAATTGTGTATCTGGAAACTGTTTGTTCATCTCCCCAGTCAAAAATTTCGAGCTCCACAAAACAAGACCAAGCTAAGATCTTCATTACATGGTTTCAAGGGAGAAGGCAACTGTGTCCTCAAAACAAAAATAATTGTATTGAGTCCTTGAACTTTTCTCCTTGGAAGCAGGCCAAACACTTCTTTGGGAATTGGTCTCACAAGGATGACCAAACCTTGCATCATCACCATCCCCAATATATGAGGTGCCATGAAAATATCAGGATCAAAACAACTCGGTATGCTATTCTCAGAACTCCCCGATATTCTTTATAGGCATCACTCCAGGCAAATTTCCACTTGACCAGGATCTAAAAAAATTCCTAGGTTGATTTAAAATCAAAAATAAAAAAAAATGAGTGCACAAAAATTTAAAAAGAACTTATCTCTAAGAGAACACACATTGAAGAAATTTCTGACTCAATTGTTTTTTATATTTTATCTTTGAGAAAAATTTTAGGTTGACAAATGTCTAGACAGAGGATACTGGAAGAAGGTTTTGCTTTTCCCACAGTAAGTATTACGCTCACAGTAAGTATTATGTTGAAAATTAGAGGATTTTAGTTCAAATTAAATAAATGGATAGAGTCAAGAAGGAGCATAACACACATGATATTACACCTGAGACTAAATGATGCAGTACTTCTGGAACCAGACACAAAGTTAATGGAATCAGGGTAACAATCAATGACAAAATTACAGGAAAACAATTTAGTAAAAAATTTATTTTCAAAGGTCAATTTAGGAAAACATTTGTCTTCTGGTACTCGGTATTAAAATTAATATTAATAGTGCTAATACACCCAACTGAAGTCCTTTCAGCTTGAAAAATATTTGTCGTTAATGTAAAACAAGAAACAAAAGATTAAATATTGCACCTTAATACTATATATTTATTGTTTCTTATATATAATGTTTGTTTCAAGCATGGTGACATTAATAATGGGGAATATGATATGTGATCAGCTCTCTGCAGCAATTTATCTTGTAAACTCACGACATCATCATTTACTAGCTCTGACTTAGGATAAATTAATTGTCTATGCACTCTTCCTCATCTAAAAATATATCTAATAGTAGGACCAATGATATAATATTTTCATTTGAAATGTCAATAAATGCATTAAAAGGAGAAACATTAAGATCAGTGTCAGTTTCATTCCAATTAAGAAATATACTGGTTTTATTACATCATGAACAATGATCAATTTATATCCATTACTACATTGGACAATCAAGTTCAATTTTTCAATCATATTCAGTGAACCAGTCATTGTTATTAACTGGGAAACATTTACCTAATATACATAAATCAGGTCATTTTCATAAAAACCTAAACCTTTTTGAAGTTATTTCTTCTAAGTATCAACTTTGACTTCTTAACAGGTAAAAGCAGTGGAGCACAATGCATAGAAGGAATAACACAATCGTGCCTGACTTCATCCTTTTGGGATTTTCAGATGCTGAAGACATGCAGGTGGTGCTCTTTATGCTCTTTCTCCTGATATACCTGGTCACTGTGCTGGGGAATGCAGGGATGATGCTGCTCATCCGCCTGGATGCCCAACTTCACACCCCCATGTATTTTTTCCTCAGTCACCTGTCTTTCATTGACTTCAGTTACTCATCCATCATCACACCTAAAACCTTAAAGAACTTACTGACTTCCAACAAAAAGATTTCCTTTGCAGGTTGTTTCATCCAAATGCACATTTTTGTCCTGCTGGTTGCTGCTGAATGTGTTCTTCTCTCCTCCATGGCCTATGACCGCTATGTAGCCATCTGCAATCCTCTCCACTACCCAGTTGTCATGTCCCCAAGACGCTGCTGGTCCCTTGTGTTTGGGCCCTATTTGGTAGGTGTCACAGACTGTTTTGTCACTGTGATTGGCATGAGGAAGCTGACCTTCTGTGACTCTAATGAAATCCATCATTTTTTCTGTGACACATCCCCTCTTATAGCCTTGTCTTGCACTGAAACCCAGGACACTGAAATTATGATATTCTTTTTTGCTGGCTGCACCATGCTGGGGTCTATTATCACAATATCATTTTCCTATGTGTCCATTCTCTCAGCTATCTTGAAAATTAAATCCACTTCAGGAAAGAGAAAAGCCTTCTCCACCTGTGGCTCGCATGTGGTGGCAGTCACCATCTTTTATAGCACGATGATCTTCAGTTACTTAAGACCAAGTAAATCCTACTCCTTGGGGAAGGATCAGGTGGCTTCTGTGTTTTACACTATTGTGACCCCCATGCTGAATCCCCTCATTTATAGTCTTCGCAACAAAGAAGTGAAAAATGCTGTCCTTAGACTCCTGCAGAAGAGGGAAGTTTCCAGGCACTTGAAATAGTGATGCTGATTTTTTTTTAAACAAAGTTTTTACTTTTTATCCAAGTCATATCATACATCCATAATACTTTTGCTATTCAGGTAACATTGGTTTACATTGCTGTTTATATGTTGGAAGAGTAAGATCTGCTCACATCATGCTCCCACCACCAAAGTACCCTAGTCCACTCCCATGGACCACATGCTCCCTCCTAATTTGTGCTTGTCTGTCTCCCTGCTCTTACCCCTCTGAATGTCTCAGTTCAGTAGTCAGGTTTTATATTATACACTCTGAATTTTGCTTGTTAACATTTCTTTGTTACAAAGATAAGTGCCACCAATGAATATTTGTATTACTCCTTCCGACTTATGTCATTTATCATGATCACTTTCAACTGCATCCATGATGTGAAGCTTTGAAGTTTCTCTTTTCTTTCTTTACTATAGTGCTTTTCCTTAAGATCTAACTAAAACTATTGACTCCTTTCATTTCCTTGTGTTTCTGTTGACCAACTGTCAATTGTCCAAATATAATCTTGGGCATTTCAATGAATATGTCTTCAGAAATCCATATTGTTGTGTAAGTCACAAAATAGTTCTAACCCTTATGATTATATCAATTTAAGGACAGCTGATGAACCAAATATGAAAAGAGACTTGTCGGTCCAACCACTATGGTGTGCTGTGTGGAGATTTCTGGACCTACTAAACATAGAGCTTCCATATTATCCAGCAATTCCACTCCTAGGTATTTACCCAAAGAACACAGAAACATCAATTCCAAAGAACACCTGCACCCCTATGTTTATAGCAGCACTATTTACAATAGCTAAGCTTTGGAAACAGCCCAAATGCCCCCAAATAGATGACTGGATCAAGAAGATGTGGTACATATACACCATGGAATATTACTCAGCATTCAAAAAAGATAAACACATGCAATTTGCAGCAACATGGATGGTGCTGGAAGGGATCATGCTCAGCGAAATAAGCCAGAAAGAAAAAGAAAAATACCGGATGGTCTCACTCATAGCAGGAATCTAGAAAACTTAAATAAGGGACCAGGAAAATGATTAACTATAAGAAAGTGAAAATCAAAATCAACAAAAATCTATGAACCAGAGACATTTTGGGGGGGTGGGTGGAGGGAGGGGAGGGATTGGGGTCAAAATGGGGGGTTGAAATTGTATGGGGAATATAAAAATAAAATTTATTATAAAAAAAGAGAGTTGTCATATTTTAAATTATAAAATACCAATATCCTTGCATTATCCAAAAAATGTATTATGGAAACTCTTTCCACTGTTGACTCAATACAAACAGCTTCAGCAAACATTGAATCCATTATATTCAGAAGAAACATAGCAGAGTGACTATGAGCACATCTTTAGACCAGAAACTTCACTTTAGATTCTAGATCTGCTTACGTGTTAGCTATATAACCTTCAGTAAGTCACTCAAACTTAGAGTCTCAGTTTCTAAAATTGTACAAGAGAACAAATAATCTCAGGTTTGTAGTGTTTTGGTAAAGATTAAATCTGATGATAAATGCAAGACATTTAAGCCATTTCTAACTAATATGCATTATCATAAGGAGATTTACATTTCTATAATATTTTCAATATACAGTGTTTTTTCTTAAGAATAGTCTCTGGTGTTCTATGAATTAATATTGATTGATTGATTGATTAGACGAGCTCACAAACAACTAAAAAAAGAAAAATCAATGCTTCACAAATTTGGATTTGTTAGGGCATATGTTGACATTGGAAAAGCATTGAACATATTGAAAAAATGGAGGGAAAGAAGATTGCCCTAATAATTACTGACAACTTAGTGTGTCCTTTAGTTATTTACCTGTGCATATATATTGCATATATTAGTAAAACTTATGGTGTTTGTTATGTGTTTTATGCAGCTTTCTAATGCACTTGCAAGTTTAAACTTTGTTAATTCCCTCATTGAAACATTGTTAGATGAATGTATTCTTGGTCTAGGAGGCAGCCAGATCCCATGGTGTAGATTTGAAGCATAGTAAGTCCATTGATTAGAACTCTGAATGCAGTAAAATCACTGTTTTCTTTTCTTTTTTTTTCCTTAAAGATATATTTTCTGTATATAAAAACTGGGATACCAGCCAGAGGTGAAGGAGAGAGAGAGAATCCACCAGAGACAGAGTGGGGGGCAGAACTGGCAAATGGACAAGAAAACACTGCTGAGGGGAGCAGTGGGAGAGACAGGAGAGATCTGCCATGCCATGTGGGCATCTTCCTGGCAGGCTGGGAATTGAACCCATGCTGAAGAGGCTGCAGACAGCCTCACAGCGCTGAGTTCATCCTGCTGCACCACCAGGGAGGCCAAAAATCACTTTGGTTTCCACCTGCTAAACACTTACACCTTTCTGTGACATGTTAATAGATTCAGTCAACCCTAACTTGTTGAAATTCTGTATATGTACAAACCATTTCCTGTCTACTGGGTTCTAAGTTCTGTTATGCTATTTACAAGTAAATTATTGAAACAGACCCATGGTTCTCTTGTACTTTAATGGAGAAAGTTGTAGAGCTAATAATTGGTAATAAATTCAGATTATGTGGCAACACATAAACGCGCACCTTAGTTGAATTACATGAAATGTTTTTGACAGTTCCCTATGTATAGTATCACCATATGTATTGAAACTGTGATGAGTCTGACTTACTGAGATATTATATGCATTGATACTGTAATTGACCCTAATGATGGTGATGTGGAACCAATTTGAGATAGAGCAACATCACTTCTCAGTTAAAAAAGAGCCACTTGTTTAGTAAGACATTTATTGGTAAGCAGACAATGTGTAACAAGGTCAGGTTAAAAAATAGTGGTCCTGAGAGTCACTGTGCAAACCAAATTAACAGATGGTCTTGATATCATGTCTCTTAAAAGTGGCCAAAATATAGGTAAGGGAATTAAACCAATATGGAATCCCTATGCATCTCATGCATGTCACCATCTTAAAGTTTTCTCCAGATTTTGGTGAGATCCAGCTGGCACTCTCATTTGGAATTGTGATGTTCCCTTTCCTGCAGACAGCTGCCAGACACTCCCTGTGCTGAGTCACTCCTGCTCTGCCTTACCAGGCTCCCAGAACTTGCCAAAAGGCTCAGACCCTTCCACCCTTTGATGCCAATTGAACTGTATGCCTACCTTTTTGTAATGGTGACCCCTTGAATAAATTTGTCATGTGATTGTGTGCATTTGACTAGTTGCACTCCAACAGAGTTAGCACTTTAGAGATCTGAACATGATACAATAAATATTTATTCATTTAGGGAAACTTTATGAATAACAGCATCTCAGACATTGGTCTAGATTCTACACTAAATTAGAAATAAGTCAAATATAAGTTAAGGAAATTTAAGTGCACTTTATGTATGTGGTGAGATTTGCAGTGGATGCATTTAAGAAAGAAAGAATATAAGGAGATGTAAAGAAGTTGAATTGCCGTATATTGCCATGACAATATAGTGAAAGACATCTCACAAAGAGAAATATTCAAGGAAGGAATCATATGATTAAGTTTGTGAAGAACATTCTGAATTAAAAAAAAAGTGCAAATAAATTGCAAGAGATACATTGAGGAAAGAGATAAGTCTACCTAGTAGTGCTGAAGCATTATTTATTTTTAAATTCATCTTTAGGGAAATCCCTTTAGATTACTCTGTGTGTTTTTTTTTTTTTTAGATTTTTATTTTTATTTATTTATACAAACACTGGGTACAGTCAGAAGCACAGGAGGGTGAGAAAATTCACCAGAACCAGAGCGGGGAGCAGAGCAGGCAGAAGGACCGAAGTACATTGCTGAGGGGAGCAGCGGGCGGCAGGAGAGGTCTGCGCGCCATGTGGGTATCTCCCTGGCCAGCCAGGAACTGAACCCACCCGGTAGAGGCTGTGGACAGCTTCACAGCACTGCACTCAAGCTGCTGCACCAACGGGGAGGCCCTATGATTTTTTCAATTAAAATATCCTGATCTACGTTGCCTTTGTGAATTTTAAGATGCTACAATGTGAAGACAGGTAATAAAAAAATGACAGAAAATACATTGGAAATAAAATAATTAAATTTTAACATAACATGAGCCACCAACTGAATGAAATCATTTCTTCCTCTTAATTAGGCAGAAAAATGCACCCACTTCTACCCAATACCTTAGTCACTGCGGAGATCATCATGATGGAGGAAATCTTGATTTCCTGGCAAAAAACTGCCACAAACATGTAACTGCATGAGCTATTTGACTTAGAACCTAGGAATAAAACCTGAATGTAGGCATGCCCTCACATTCAGATTCACACAGGATTCAGTGGGAAAACATGACTGAGGTCACCATGTTTATATTAACGGGCTTCCGGGGTGATTTTGAGATGCAAGTCTTCCTGTTTTTACTGTTTCTGGCAATTTATCTGTTCACCCTGATAGGAAATTTGGGGCTGGTAATATTGGTCATTGGGGATTCCCGGCTCCACACCCCGATGTACTACTTTCTGAGTGTGTTATCCTTCTTGGATGCCTGCTATTCCTCCGTTGTCACCCCCCAAATGTTGGTCAATTTCTTGTCAGAGAACAAGGCCATCTCGTTCGTTGGCTGTGCCACCCAGATGCTTCTCTTTGTGACTTTTGGGACCACGGAATGCTTCCTCCTGGCCGCGATGGCGTATGACCGCTACATGGCCATCTACAACCCGCTCCTGTACTCGGTCAGCATGTCCGCCAGGGTCTACGTGCCGCTCATAGTGGCATCCTACGTGGGCGGCATCTTGCATGCTTCCATACACACGGGGGCCACATTCAGCCTGTCCTTCTGCGCATCCAACGAGGTCAGGCACGTCTTCTGTGACATTCCCCCTCTCCTTGCGATTTCTTGTTCCGACACGCACATAAACCAGCTCCTGCTCTTCTACTTTGTGGGCGCTATTGAGATAGTCACTATCTTGATTGTCCTGATCTCCTATGGTTTCATCCTGTTGGCAATCCTGAGG